ATAGAGTCGTTCGTGGTGGATGTGCCTGAAGGAAACACCAAAGACGAGACCTGCTACTTTGTGGAGGCATTGATCAAATGCAACCTCAAGTCATTGGCAGACGTTTCAGAGCGCTTGGCACTTCAGGATCGCACGGAGCCCATCGACGGCTAAAAGTCATCGGAGGGCATGCTCATAGCTGTCAGTGATGAATACAGGGCTTCGGACATGGAAGTTTTTGAGATGGCCTGGTAGTCTCTTTCTAGCTCCTCTCCCTCCATGTTTCTTCCCTCTCTGGGTTGATCGGTCGAATTGAGCTCCATCCATTGCATGGACATTTGCTTTATCCCCATATTAATATAGGGTGTTGTTACCTTGTGTGAAGAATACCTGCGATTGCTTTGTTCTTCCTTTTGTTTTCGTGTTGAGGCCATTTGCCCAGCTGCCGTATAGCACGAAAGTTTGACGGTCTCTCAATATAAGATTTGACGCTTAGTGGACTTTGGCCTTCACCTACCGGCCGGTAGACATCAAGTTTATGGTGTGACCCGAGTCGACTTTCTGTAGCGTATCTTTTTCTTGCTTTCCTTGCAATCCATCGTCTTTAAGACCGAACGTTAAGCTGCTCGGTTTGGTGGACGTTGGCATGTTCATGCATCTTCTGTGAGGCCTCTTTTGGATCCCTCCAAACCCCATTCATGGGGACGGAGATAAACCCCCGTGTTACAGTCTCCTTTGTTTGGGCCCTGAAGAGAAAAGATTGTTGGCCATTGCATTCGGAAGAATACACAGTTACGATGACAAGAAATACAGGGATATGTAGTTGCTTTTGGTCAGCTTTCTCTTCATTTTGTGGACGATTGAAGGGGGGCAGCGCTGTCGTTGATTGTGGTCTCCTCTCTTTGTTCGCCTTTGATTGTTCGGCAGAGGTTGTACCAGCGGTCCAGGTGCATGAACCGGGGACTCTTGAATCAACATCGTACGAACGCTTGTCGGACGTGAGAGGTGGGTCTCCTGACACCTTATCCATGTCGGAAGCTGTGATGGGACAGATCCAGAGGATTCGTCAGAGAAAAATCTTATTTTCCCGGTTGTCGTAGAGGCTGCAGGCTTCAATGATTCTTGAACGATGAATATTGTCATCTCGCACAAGGTTTTTGTCTTCGCGAGGGACAAGTGCGGCAATTGGAGAGGCATGGGAATCCGTCGCTGCAGCTTGTAGATTTGCCTGCGAGTTCAGGGAACTTAGATTATGATGTTGAAGGATGCTCTGCTTTAGAGGAAGAAGAGATCCGAGGGAAGAATGTAAGGTGATAAAAGGTGCCTCTCTGCGAGCCTGGTAGATGCATCGATTCCTCCAGAAATTGTTCGTAGAAGGAAGCATCTGGTGCTTCCGAATTCCGAGTCCATGCCGAAAATTTGGGCTCTAAGATAGTATTATTACCATAATTTCAGAGAAAACAGGGTCAAAGAAGGAAGTCCATAGGCGTATTCAACTTGCCATAGACGAGGGTTTCGAGTTGCTTCGTGACTCCGGCAACGCAGAGGGTGGTTGGGAGGGATAAGATGAAGAGTTTACTCCAGAGTTGACCACCTTAAATAAATTATGGCCTTGAATTATATAGATCATAATATGCTTAACATTCAAAGTATCGGATCGAACAGGAAATCCCATGTAAAAGTTCCAAATGCGTTGTCACTTTGAATTAACCATAAATAATTGTTCCCTTTTCGTCACGCAACGTACCCGTAATGGTGTCACTCACAAGCATGATATGTGGGGTCCACGCTTGAGGTTGGTGGAGCATCACGCGTGGAACCTCTTGATGGGGCCTTCCGGAGAGAGAGATTTGCTTTGGGACGGAAGTTGATGACCCAATTCCGTACCCGGGTTTGTTTCTTGGTTCAACTTCAGCCAACCCCAGGGTGAGTGTCACCCTCGATCCTCGTCGCTCCTCGTTCTCTTTGCGGCGAACAGCGGAGATTCCAGCCGACCATCGTCCGTCAAGGTTACGCCATCTCAGCCATAATATCGGGGAATCTTCCTCCCTTCACCCCTCCCCTCTTCCTTGATTCCTCCTCTCTGTCTCACTCTCTGATTTATTTCTCAAAATGTTTTCTTGTCATTGCGTGATTTTAGCTTCTTGGATGACTCTTATGAATACAGAGGAGGAGGAGAGGAAGAAGGAGAAGTAGAGAAATCGATTGGGAGAGCGAGGGAAAAGTCAGCAGAAATGCCTCCGTACGACTGTCTGCTGCTGGTGAAGCCCCAGGTGCGGAAGGAGGCGCTCTTTTTATGGGCCTGGTGGCGCGCGTGGGGATGCGAGTCTACCAGCGGAACGCCGTAATCACCGACGTCAAGTCCTTCGGCACCGTCCAGCTTGATTACGGCATCAAGAAGCTCGACGGCCGCCTCTACCAGGTAAAATTTTGCGCTATCGCCCCATTTCTCTGATTCGAGTCCAATCTTCTTAGGCTTCTCTTTCTTTTATTTGGAGGTACGTGATGCGCTCGTAGTGTTTGACAAAATGACAAGCACCTTTTTACTATATTCTTTTAATTGCCACAAAAAGAACAAAATCTTGAGGTCTATCGTGGTTTTCTCTGTTCTTCTTGTTTGCATTGTTGTTTTTATCGAGCTTGGTGTCTGTTCTAATGATCTCACATCTGTTTGAATCGTTTACTAGCTTCTTACATTTATTTTTTTCATCCAATACTTCTGAGGTGATCTTCTGCTTGCTTATATAGACTGATTAGTATCCAAGTATTCTTTGCAGTCTCCTTATTCTTCGGAGGATCAAATAAGTTCTCATACATGATTCAGTTACTTAAAACTTACATGGTTAGGTTTTTCGTCAGCCTTGAAATTTGAGCTTCTATTTGTCACACATTTGAACATTATTTCAATTTTCAAAAACATTAGTTCTGCTTCTTACTCTTATATAACATAGTTGCTTAAGGAAATTCCTAGGTTAGACTTCAGTTTGATTCATCTACTATGAGGGAACCTGCAATCATACTTGACAATACTAATGGACAACTGGGAGGTGCTTCTGTGATGATATATTATGCTCAGATGGCCTTGTTGAATTATGAGATTCAGCCATGGATGCTTTTGTGCTAGTCTAATATTTGAAATAGTTTAGGGACTGTACACCCCATGGGAACAAGTCTAAAGTGTTTGAAAGTTTCACGCAAGAATCAATTGAAGCTAGTGAGGATATGAAGGTATTGACCGAACATGAAACTGAGTGAGAAGCTCATTAACCTGTTATTCCATGTATGAGGACCTTGACTTAATTAATTTAATTGGTTTCATATTAAGAAGTTATGCACTAGGTGGGTATAATATATGGTATGAAGCACATGTACACAAGGCAGAATTCTGCTGTCTTTTCTTGTGATCTTTGAGATTCTTGGACATGGGGCCCGCTTATGGTATGTCAACTCATCATGGAAGGCTCAGAAGACTCATACATGGAGAATTGGCACCTGTTGAAACTGAAGGAAAAAATGAGCCCTTAAATCTTGATTGCTTTACTTGAAGTTAAACTTAATCTTGGAATTGTAGTGTCAAGAGAAGCATAATCCGAGGTCAATAAGATTTGGGGAAATGAAGCCTAATGTGACTGACTAAAAATTACAAGAAGAATTGCAACTAAAAAAGGCTTGTAGGGAAAAAGATGTACGCAAGTTTAAGTTTCCAAATGTCAGAGGAAATTAGCTAACTTGTTATGAATTACCATAAGTTCTTATCTTGTGCCTAGAAAATTTTGAACAGCTTGGCATACAGCTATGTAGAGCAAGATCCCCAAGTTTTTCCAATAAGCATATCAATTAAGTAATGTTACTTTAAAAATAATAGAGGCTTTTCTTTCGATCGCTAAACTATTCTAAAAATTTCCATCACAGGCATCAAATCTGTTCAGATTTTGGTCATCTCTTGGCAACACAAATAATCAACAAAGAGGCTATCTTGTAATCCATAAAACTAACCTGATATTTTGTCTTAGATCTAGTTTCTTATTGCATTAAATATTCCTTTTAGAACTGATCCACAAGCCAGAGAGCATTACCTTTTTGTTATCTTCTGATACATACTTGCAGTGACTGGATAAACTATATATTGTTTATCAAATAATACATGAAATCACTTGAGAAAATCAGTATTCTGGATAAGTAATAATTTGCTTGCAACAAAAGGCATGCACAATTATATTACAGCCATGCATTTTTTTTCAACCTTGGAGTTGCAAGTAATTTCCAGAATTATACAGTCTGGTCAAAGGGGGTTAGCTTTGTTTCCACAGAAGTAAATCTTCACTTGTAAAATGCACGTGCATAACTTTGTGATTGTCTCCATGTTTTGGCTGCTTAGGATAGTTTTTTTTTTCCTCTTTTCTCTATGTAATGAAGCTATTATTGTAAAGTCATGATTATTTGATAAAATGTCAAATGGTGCTTTGTCCAGAGCCAACCAATAGAGATGACTATGATTGGAAACCCACATTTGATAAGGAACTTCTCTCCCTAAATAAGGAAGATCGTCTACTGCACTGGCTTGTTGTGAAACACTGGAATGCTATATGGATTGGAATTTATTAACGAGGACGAAGGGAGAGATGTTCCGAAGTGATCGCTTGTACAATAAGAGAGATGACGACGACGATGATGATGATGATGATGGCGATGAAGAATATGATGTGGAATGGGCAGCATACCCGGAATACGGAACAGATAAGAGGGCATCAAGAACTCTCGATATGAATGTGTGTAGTTCCCCCAATGAGAGACACATTTACCGTGAGTTTGCAGTCGAATATGATATTTTTTGTCTGAAACGAGTGTGAAATGTATGTAGTAGTACCACACTAACAACCTGTACTAGCAGGAGAGATTGCGGTACGCTCACCCACGGCCAGAAAAATTGGACCCCGTCATGTTTACAATTTGACATCAAAATGGAGCTGCCTGTCTTTTACGAAATTCCAAACAATTCCTATCCTTACAAATCACGACCCACCGCCAAGGCATCATCTTATCTAATCTTCTTCATTCCACATGGCAAGCAGCCATTTGCCATTCCTTCTCACCATCACAAACCCAATAAGAAGTCGGACAAACTTACCCCTTCCTTCCCTCGGGAAACTTCTCTGCGTCTTTGAGCTCGCAAGATCCCCATGGAATGATGGCATCTCGACTGTTTTGCTAGCCTCCGCTTGCTGTTCCCTCTTCAGGCGCCTTGGAGACCAAGATAATTATGCCATGCAAGTCCTCAATGCAGCAGGCCTGGCACCAGTAGCCTCACTCCACAAGGCCACTCCCTCCCTCGAGAGGAGACCCGAGCCTAGGCGGCTCCTCCAATTCAGGCTCCCCAAGCTTGCAGCCCTCTCCTCGATTTTTGGTGCTGGTGGCCTCGCCAAGGCCTTGACCTACGAGCAAGCTCTCGACCAGACCGTCGGCAGCTCCTCCCTCGACTTCGATGTGGGAGGTCTCCTCGATGGGATTGTGAATTTTGGGACCGAGAATCCCCTGCTCCTCGGCGGTGGCGCCCTGGTACTAGCGGTGCCCCTCATTCTGTCGCAGATCCTGAAAAAGCCCAAGAACTGGGGCTTGGCGTCCGCCAAGAGTGCCTATGCTAAGTTGTCCGAGGACGGGAACGCGCAGCTGTTGGATATAAGGGAAGGGAAGGATTTCAAGGAGGTGGGCAGACCGGATTTGAGGGGATTGAAGAAGAAAGCGGTGGCGATCGCGTATAAAGGGGAAGACAAGCCGGGGTTCCTGAAGAAGCTCGAATCGAAGTTTAAGGACCCAACCAATACCACCTTGTTCATTCTCGACAAGTAAGGTTTCCACATGCTTCCCCTATATTTTATACTGATATCATCTTTAGCTTTTCTTAATTATGTCGTCGTCTGATGAATGTAAGACATCTCTTTTTTAAGTCTGGACTGATAGATCTAACGCATGACTTGGCACTTTGTCTGTCTGTTGTTCAACATCGTTGGTCCATTGAATTGGTTTCATAGAAACTTTCAAGCCGTTTGATAATGCCTTCATTTAGGTATCGGGGTAGGAGTTGCAGGGCTCTTCGAATTACCTTATTTGAGAAGGGCTGCTCGTGCTCAGTTAAAAGTCAGAATTTTGACAAAGTGAAGTGAATTAGCATGCAAGCCATTTTGCTTCTTATATCCATGCCTTTCCGTTCCTGCAAGATTTGGGGGAATAGATGAGAAAGATTTTGTGAACTGAATTACCATCCTGCTGAACATGAGACTCCATCTTAGTTGGGGAGATGCTATGATTTTATACTGCAAGGCTCAGCTTCTAATGGGACAATAGAGAACTTCTTTATATGTTGGCTTTCCTGTAAAGTGAGAATTGTTAATTTTGCTTGGAGTTCTATTAAGATAGGCAACTTGCATCCCAGCAAGCATTTTAGATTATTAGGGGTGAAATGTGGATAATTCAGGGTTAGTCAAAGAATTTTTCGAGATTTTACAAGGGTGTGAATAAGAAAGGAGTTGTGTGTGGTGTTTTTAGTTCAATATGTGCACCATGTGTACACATTATACAGCAACTATTAATACCAATATAAATTTCACTTTACTGATCACATTTTTAGACCTCAGCAAAAAGTTGCAATATATTTAATCTACTATTTTGCTGATACTTGAAAAGTCTTGTATGGTATAACAGTTATGATGAGAATTTGGAGGTACATACAACTTAATTTACTGCTTGATGCTCTGACTGCCTAAGTATAATTAAGGCTGACAACATTAATATTCTCATGGAAGCCAGATTTGATGGTAAATCTGAATTGGTTGCGGAACTGGTCACCGTCAATGGTTTTAAAGCAGCTTATGCGATAAAAGATGGTGCAGAAGGACCTCGGGGATGGATGGTCCTTGTTTTCTGAACTTTGTAATTGTTTTAGTGTCAATTTTCAAGTACCAGCTGATGAGTTTTCTCACTTTAACAATTATACTTGTTTGTTTCCTTCCTGTATTGCAGAAAAGTGGTCTTCCATGGGTGGAACCAAAGAAGACTTTAACTCTTGATTTTGGTGATCTAAAGGATGCAGTTACTAGTGGATTTGGAGTAAGTTAGCCAACTTGCATCATGGTGATTTCTTTTGAGTTCTAAACTGACTATGAATTAAATTTTCTTGACTCATTAGGTTGACTAATTTCTTACATGTATGTTCTACCTTATCATATTGCTTTAAAATGGTTACTTAAAGCTCGAAAATTGCGGATGTTTATATTGATTTGCAATATTAGTACTTTCAGCAATTATCTTTAATGATGATCTATATACAGGATGGTTTAGATGGTCTTCCAATTACTCTTGGACTTGCAGCTGCCACTGGCTTAGGTATATTTGCTTTTACAGAGGTAAATCACATTGTTCTGCTCATTGTGCTTTATTTATTGGAGAAATGCGCTCGAGGAGGCTGTTTATGCTTATAATGTCTTCCTTCTGCTGCAGATAGAAACTCTGCTCCAGGTTTTAGGGTCTGCTGCTCTTGTTCAGTTATTCACCAAAAGATTCTTGTTTGCAGAAGTTAGTATCTAGCAAATTTTCTTCTTCAGCATGTGATATGAAATCATCCAGAATCCTTACTTACATTTACTCATTTACAGGACAGGAAGGTTACTCTTCGACAGCTTGATGAGTTCTTGAACACCAAGGTCGCTCCTAAAGAACTAGTTGACGAGATTAAGGTAGATCCCAAATCTCAAGTTAATATTCATCTGGAAATTCATTACTGAACCATGTCATGAAGTCCTACAAACATGTGATGTTGCACAGAAACCAGAATAAAGCTTGAAATTTCTGAACTATTCTCCATATGCTTGTTTACAGGATGTATTGTTAGGGGAATGGCATATATGCTTGTCTGAGCCTCAAGTTTTACCCAGCAAGATTAATGCAATTTGAATAATTTGTCTAGTCATGTAATTTCTTATTACTGAGGATTGTCGTTACAGAAGGCATACATAAAAATCTATAGCTTTATGGATATGCATGCAAATTGAACAGTTAAGGGATGAATAAGCTAACAGGATATTCCGCATAGCTGACTGTGCATTTTGCCTTATGTAATATAGAGATTTAGCTATGAACTGATCTGTATCATGCAGCACTTTGTAGAAATCACCATTAACAGTTATCTATGCTCATCATTCTCGTTGTCATGTAAATTCATCTGTAATTGGGAAGTCAGGTTAATTAAGGCATCATGTTACTTGCAGCTAGGGTAGAAAACTCTTCCGCTAATTAGTGATTGAAAGTACATGTGATGCTAAGTAGAATATAAACCTAGTTCGGTTCAGTATTGTGTATTTCAGTCAAAATTATATCTAGCACTGAATATAAGCACACAACAAGGATGTAGATCACTTGGTTGGTTGGATTTTTCATGACACAGTTACTTTCAAATAAGTTTCAGAGTACTCTGAGTGAAGCTACTTGATTATAAATATTATATATAACTAGTATTTTATAAATCCAAGAAAGAAATAAGCTCACTTGAAATTTCTGGCCAGCTTCATCTTTTGATAATGGCCTTCTTAGTTGTTGCATTCATCATCTTCAACAGTTCTCCAATTTTTGAAAGCAAATATGCTTATTTTCCATGGTAAATAATAGATGTTTCTATATGAATACTAGATGATTGGCAAGGCTCTCCTACCAGCAGATTCTAATGCGAAGGCTAGTCTACCAGCTCCCACAGATGCTTCAGCAGCTCCTGCTCCAACTCAAAAAACTGATGCTGTAACCTCAACTGAACCTCTCCCAGCAGTCAACTCAGTTCCCAAAGCTGAAGTCAAGGAAGAGTCACCTCCTGTGACACCGAGACCTCTTTCACCTTACCCATATGTAACTCTCGATCCTTTCACATGCCTTGCTCTTTTATTCTTTGTTTCTTCCATTATTCATCATGACTGCTCTTTCCACATCGTTTCTTAGGAACCATATTATCAAGAAACTAAAATTGACATGTAGACCATAATTGCTCAGAAGATGTAAAGTTAATTCTTGGAATGAAAGAAAGAGTACATCTCACACCGAACATCTTTGAGATTAATATATCATCATAACCGAGAAATTATATCGAACTATGTTATCTATGTTCAAGCATATACTTTATAGGATAGGACTCAGCAAATGTAATGACATGATTTCAGCTTTCTCAATAAAAAACTTATGCTGTATGCATCTGAATTATGCACAGTATCCGGATCTCAAACCTCCATCTTCACCTTCTCCGTCACAGCCGTAGAGGATCTGCTTCGTTATGTTGGTTTCATGGGATCACTCTTCTCAAATGCATGGTCGGATGACAGAGCGTTCAGTAGGAAAAGATGTTTGGAAGGCCAGATATCCTCAAATTGGTTGATTTAAGATATAGTTCTAAAAAGGATAATTACATATGTAAATTGTTCATCGATAAGAACTGTTACATGCATTTTCTTCCCTTGGTTTTCTTCATGGAAAGCAGAAAACAGTTCATGTGCTTGTTACTTGAGATACCTCTTCGAGTTTTGAGTTCTGATAAAAAAAGGATCAAATATGAGTTATCGGGAGTGTGTTATGGAACATTTTATGAAGAATGGATAGTAACTTTCAGGAATCTACTCGTCCATTTAAATTTCTTCCAAAATCCCATGTGGTCTTTTTATTCTTCTCAATTTTCTTTCACAGGCACTTCATATGAACCACTGAAAAATTGTATCTTTTGTGTGTCAATGTGGAGAGTCCCATCAATGTGCAAGTTTAATTTTATGAACAAAGCAGGCTATTTTGGTATCATGAGTTCTGACATCCAAGTTGCATATTGTAAGATAATTGTGCAAATATCAACCAAGTTCATCTGGTTAGTAATAGGAATCAGCTTGTCCAATCCAATGCACCAAACATCAAGACGAACAGATTTTTAAATGAACGAGGAACCACTCATATCAAAAATAGTATTATCTCGAGACAAATACAAAATTAGTTCATTCCAATAAGAAGACGGCGTCGATGTACAAGGTCTTTTGCTACAAGACCTTATGGTAGTAATACGGCATTTAACTGGAAGGCATTATTAACAAGATGATAAATCGACCAAGGCTTAAGTCATAATTGACTTTTGTTTTGGTTAGAAATAAAAGACTTGTGTATACCTACTTTGGCATGGGTCACGAGTTAATATTCATCGATGATTCGCGAGAAATCTTGTAGCTCAATCATCAAATTTTACTTGTGTTAATTATTTGATTATATAATATTATCTTAAGATATATTATAGATTTGATTAGATTCTGATAACGATTATTAGAAGTCGATAAAAGATATAACACGAGTTAGAAGTCGATAAAAGATATAACACGAGTTTAATTTTCTTTATAGATCGTCATGATAAATATAATTTATTATTATTTAATTTTAATTCTAATATTAAATTTTTTTTTATAATAATAATAATATATTATAATTTTTTTATACTTACACCGATACCATCTCATCTAAGATGCATCATTACATTCGAAAAGCAATCCTTCACGATGTTATGATCTTTTCTTTCCCATCGTGGAGTTGCACATTGACGAGCCGTGTAATTAATTACAAAAGAATGATTCGAGCATATGTGCGTATCCACTCAGGGTTTGGATGTCGGATGCGGATCCTGGTTATAATATATTCGGACCATCCATTTTTCTTGGAGGCATTCACTCTTATTTTAATCACCGGTGGAATCTAATTGTCCATTTCGAGAATGAAATCATGCATTACTATTTTAGATGCAACAAATTAATGGATCGGTCATAGATTAATGTGCAACAACAAAAAAAAAAGAATATACTGCGCCCACGTGGTCTAATTGTCATGACGAACAAATAGACGGCCAAAGTCAATGCTAATATGTTAATCACTTGGGCTGTACCAACCCTTATATATATATATATGTTTGATAATATGTTTGTTTTATTTTTATATATTTTTTTCTTGAAAATCATAAGTAAGATCAGTGTACAGCAATAGAATGGATAAAATTATCGATCTAGTTAAAATTATCTTAGATTAGTCTAGTTTTCACATATCATGTTTTCACATATTGATAATAAGTTAAATTAAAATTTTCATATCATTATTACAGTGATACGAAACTTTCCATTTTTTTTCTCGATGATCGAATGTGAATACATCATAATATATATATATATATATATATATATATATATATATATATATAATTTAGATCATATACTTTGTATATATATATATATATATAATTTAGATCATATACTTTGTATGCTTATATTTGTTTAAAATGTTAATGAAAATTTAGTTATTTTTTAAGGATTAATTGGAACTCCGTCACACGATCTTGGCAGTAGATCCAACGCTAGCTGTACCGTCAGCCGTGCATACTGCACACGTACTTTATTGCAGAGATGATGCACTCTCTCTCTCTCTCTCTCTTAGCTGAGGCTTACGCTTTCCTTACATCACAACCCTATTCTCTCTCGCTCCTCCGTAGTCGCACCAATTCCCCGTCTCCTCCTCTGTATTTGGGTATATATGATCATCAGGTGACTTTTCTTCGGCAGTGTCCATTGTGGGCTGACACCAACCTTGTCGTACATAAGTCTAGCCATGGACAACGGCAACGGAACAGCTGCTACATGCCTGCGACGTCCTCACGTCGCGATGATGCCCACGCCCGGCATTGGCCACCTGATGCCCTTGGCCGAGCTAGCCAAGCTCCTCGTCGACCGCTACGGCTTCTCCATCACCATCATCACCCTCGCCGTCTCCGCCTCCAAGGCGCAGGCTGCCCTCCTCTCCTCCCTCCCTCCCGACATTTTCTCCCTCGCCCTAGCCCCTGTCCCCTTCCATGACCTCCCCCCCGATGCCCACATCGTGACCACCATGTCCATAGCCATTGTCCGCTCCCTCCCCGACCTCCGCGACGCGCTTTCCCGCCTACGGTCCTCCACGAACCTCGTCGCCTTCGTTACCGACCTCTTCGGCACCGACGCCTTCCCTGTCGCACGCGAGCTTGGCGTCCCGCCCTACATCTTCTTTCCCTCCAACCTCCTAACGCTGTCACTCTTTCTCCACCTCCCTGAGCTCGACGCCACCGCCACCTGCGAATACCGCGACCTACCCGTGCCGCTCCGTCTCCCGGGTTGCGTTCCCATCCCTGGCCGGGACGTGCTCCACCCCCTCCAGGACCGGTCCAACGACGCCTACCGGTGGACGGTCCACCACGGGCGCCGCTACCGAGAAGCGGAGGGCATTCTCGTTAACAGCTTCGAAGCTATGGAACCGGAAGCGGCCAAGATCCTCCGGCAGCACGAGCCCGGCCGTCCGCCAGTTCACCTTGTTGCACCGTTGACGCAGTCCGGGACGGCCGAAGCCGACGAAGGGCTCGAGTGTATGAGGTGGTTGGATCAGCAGCCGCCCGGGTCAGTTCTGTTTGTCTCTTTTGGCAGCAGGGGAACCCTCTCGACGGCGCAGATGGCGGAGCTCGCGCTGGGTTTGGAGCTGAGCGGTCAGCGATTCCTGTGGGTCGTCCGGAGCCCGAGTGACTGCGGTGACTCCAGCGAGGCATACTTCACCGTCCAGAGCAAGGAGGACCCATTCCGTTTCCTTCCGACAGGGTTCGTGGACCGGACACGGGAGGTGGGCCTGCTCGTCCCGTCGTGGGCGCCACAGGTGGCGGTGCTGAACCACGCCGCCACCGGCGGCTTCCTGAGCCACTGCGGGTGGAACTCGACGCTGGAGGGCGTGCAAGCCGGGGTGGCGATGGTGGCGTGGCCCCTGTACGCCGAGCAGAGGCAGAACGCGGTGCTGCTGGCGGACGGCGCGAGGATCGCGCTGCGCCTGCGAGCGGCGGAGGGCGGGCTCGTGCCCCGGGAGGAGGTGGGGCGGGTGGTGAGGGAGCTGATGGAGGGGGACAAGGGGAAGGTAGCACGGCGGCGGGTGGCGGAGCTCCGTGAAGCGGCGGCCAGGGGCCTGAAGGAGGGGGGCCTCGCCTACAAGGCGCTCGACGAGGTGGCTAACAAGTGGAAGACCACGAATTAAAAGTATTACTCTTCTCTACAACCAGAAATCACCGTAGTTGTCATTGTAGAAGGCAGGTGGGTGGCACATCAATCTGTGCTTCTTTGCTTTTTCGGTTCATGTGGTCCTTGATATCCATCATCTTCTATGCTCGGTGTCTGTGTACCCTGTTGGACTCCGCATGGACTTTTAAGTGCATTGTTGGGAAGCAGACGGTGATGGAAGAAGCAACTGCATCTACCGCGGGATGCGTGGCCTGAGGCTTCCATCATTGTGAATGATTCATAATGATGAAGAGGACCAGCGAAGGCAACTACACATGCTTGTCCCAATAATATGATACCTAAACACCCAAATTTAATGACCGATGAGTCAAGAATGTTAGTTGACATGAGCATCGGAGGAGGCTGTCAGTTAACATCTGACCCTCTTTCTCCAAGTATGTTTTCTCATCAAAGTAACCATCTATCTATTTAGTGGATACATAATTTACCATATCATTAATGACTCGGCTTTGTTTAATTTTCATGTAACTAATTGGTTTCATATATATGATGTTATAGTTCGATGATGTGACTCTTCTATCCTCTATCTATCTATAAATACCAAATAAAAATGACGAGTTAGCATTGGCATGGGTATAATAATTGAACATATGTATTCTTGATTACTATAACGTTTGATGGCTTAACATATGTATTCTTGATTCAGTTGTCATTAATGATTTCACATATTTGTCTCGTGAACTAACTCTTACTTCAATTCAACAATTATCCAACCTTATTGTAAAAGGCTCGCGAGTGTATTCTTGTTGTACTCTTCCAACTCTTTCTTGTGTGCGTTGGTTGATGCCTTCAACCCGCTTTCCCGTTCCACATCTGCTTCTCAGATTCGCTGAATTCCTGTAGCAGAAAGCAACGTTAAGAGACACCCCAAAGTGCAGGTATTAGATGATCCCAATGATATGATGATACCTACCTTCCATTTCACTGAGACCATAGCGTTCAAGGTAGAATAGGCGATGCCCGGTCGTTCTTCCATGAGTCGGTTCCTTGCTTCCTTGCTGGAAATGGAAACGAATTAAGCTCGTTTATATGCATGAATATTCGCAAAGGTAGAGAACTCGGTTGGATCCAAACCTGGAGAGAAGAAAAGAAGAGGGTGGCTTCCTTGGCCTCTTGGGATCCGCATTGTGTTCATCCTTCTCTTTCTTCTTCTTGTGACGGTTCTCCTTCGTTTTCTGTTTCAGATGTCAGCAAAACTATCACTCGGTGAAATCATGAAGTGAAAGAAAGTTCCCAACATGGACGGAAAATAAATTTAACCTTAATTATGTTCTCTGTTTTCTCCTTCTTCTTCAATAATTGAAGAGCTTCCTGCCTTAGAACTTTCATCTGCTCCTCTTCTTCCTTCTCTATGATCACAGCTTCCTGATCGATTCATGCGCCGAATTAGTATCATCTAAAGATTTAGAAACTTCTAGGGCCTTCATTTCTTACCTCCTGCTTCTTTTGCTTGTAAAGCTCCATTTCCCTGTTATAGGATTCCTTCTGTCTCTTGGCGATCTGCGAGGAATGTGTCGATGTATAAGAATATAAAGCAAAACATCAGAATCATTCACACTGCTGACTACCGGGAGGAAATCATTTGTTCTTATATACCTCCTCAGAGGGTGCTTTCTGCTCTCCTGTCATGTTCTTCCATTCCTCTCCTGCTATCTTAGAGATCTGAGAATATAAAGCAAAATTGTGTACCTATGAAATGCTGCTAAATTTAAGGTTGTGTAAGCTGAGCGTACCTCGAGAACATTCTTGTTCTCTCGTAGCAGAGCTTCACGCCGTTCTTTCGAGAACAAGAAGAAAGCTGACATGGGATGCTTTGGCTTCAAAGGATCCTTCTCTTTCCTAAACGTAAATTTACACCGGATCAGTTAAAATGGCTCGCAAACCAGAAATCTTGATAGAAAAAAGTTGATCTTGCGAGACAGAGGGAGATCAAGTCACCTCGTCCTCTTGCCCTCTTTGTCAGTTTCCTGCCAGTACATGATGGAAGAAACATTATCAACTTTTTTCTCACAAGAGAGGCTCGAATCATCAAAAACGCAAACCCACCTGTTTGAACTGCAGGTACTGCTGCAGCAACTTCATGGCTGTCTTCTGCAACTGCTCTTCCTCCAGGAGCTTCATCGCGTCGATCTCACGCTTCTTCTGCCTCATCACCTGCAAGTAGGCCTCCTTCTCCCGCTGGTACTTGTATTCGTAGGGCTTCTTCTCTTCGGCGCTCAGCGCCTTCCATTTCGCTCCCAGCACATTGGATGTCTCTTTGTAGTCAGCATCAGGGTTGGCTTTCTTCACCTACGATCGGAGAGAACCAAAACCTCCTTTATGCAAAGTCTTGAGTGAAAGTACGAAAGACTTGGTCGATTTACCTCATTCCACTGATCTTTGCACCATGCGATGTACGCAGGGCCGTTTCTTGATCTTCTCGCCGCGGGTCTTGTCCTTGTTTTTCTTCTTCTTATCAATCTTTTCTTGACCTTTCTCTCTCAGAGACTTGACAAGGGGAAAGCTCTGTCCAGTATCAACAAGAAAGCAAGAACCCCTTGAAACCCCAAACCTAAATCGAAGTGGAAAGAGGGGAGAAGACCAGAGAAAATAGAAGGACGAATTCAGTGCAGGCGTATACCATCGTCGGCTTGAACTCCTTCAGTTTCTGGAGCTTCTTGAGCTCCTCCTGCAGCCGCTGCTGTTCCTTGCCGCGGTTCTCGATCTCCTCGTCCTTCCGCTTCAGCATCTCGTCGCGTTGCTTCAGGAGCTCCTCCGTCTTCTCCTTCTCCAGCCGGAGCTGCTGCAGCCTCCCATGCAGTTCTTGCAACTCGTCCGCGAAGGACTCATCGGCTGCTGCCGATGACCTCGGCTTGGAAGGGGCTTTCCTGGACTTCTTCGGCGAGACGAGCAGGGAGACGCCTAGTTGGCTCTCCTTGGCGACTTCGCCAAGCGGGGATGAGGATTCGCCGGCAGAGATGTTGATGTCGCTCGGCGAGAAGTTCTTCAGCGCCTTCCGGCTCCTTCCCTTCTTGTGAGCGACCGCTGCCATGGCCGGGTGGGAGGGAGGAGCGAGCAACGGAAGTACACGATGGCGTTTTGGTAGGACGACGGAGAGGAGGAGGTGAGGTGGGGATTATAACTGTCGGAAACCGATTTTTCAAATTCGAATCGCCACGGAAGCCGATTCGAAAACGATACGGATCCACGTGGCCAGATTTGACGGTTAACCTTCCACCGTGCCAGGAAAAAGGGAAGCTAACGGATCCCTTAAAACTATCAACCATATCGATTACGCTTAATGGACGAGAGTTAAATCCACAAACAGTTTGACCAGAATATGTCACATTATGGTAAGGAAGATGAAGTTTGACCACAACTAAACTTATCTTAGATCATCAAAAACAAACTCGAAGGCATTTGCAGCAAACCAAAGAAGTAGTAATCAGATATATGACAAGGGTGCAAAGCAAGGTGAGACTTCTACAAAAACCTGCCGAACAAATTGAACGGGAATTCACAAATAAAAGAAAAGAGAAAACCTTTAGAAGATACAATTGATTGCTGCGGGAGGACAAGAGAACAACACCACAATCAAAGAAACACTCCCGACAAGATGATTCTTATGTGTTTATCACGACTGAAAACTCTTCCGCATGCTTTCTCGGGCATGTTCATCAAGTATCGATGCATCAGTTGGCAAGGACTCAAGGAACCCACATGCCAAATCCATGTTTGTTTCTCTCGACCCTGTTGGAAGTATCAAACGTTAGCATGTTATGTATACATCTCCATGCAGTGAAGATTGCTGGCTAGCTCAAGCATCAGTATGAAGCTTAGAAGGTTAAAGCTAACAAAAATGTGGCAAAATAAATATAACAAGCATGATTCATGACATTATTTGAATGCAGGATAATGAAATCAAACTTAGCCTAAACTCTTGAGATTTCAGGTCAATGTCAGGTGTCGATCATATGGACAATCCTGCTTAAACAATGAGAGCAAAGGGGTACCGATGGGAAGCTCCACCGGCAGAAGGTAGGAAGATGCGGAAGTTCCGTAGCTTGCGGACAACTATTTCACCATTGCTCTAAAAAAGAGCAGGAATCCTGCCCTGAATCGTGCTAGCTTGCGGACAACTATTTCACCATTGCTCTAAAAAAGAGCAGGAATCCTGCCCTGAATCGTGCTCGAACTCATTGCGAAAAAGAATATGAGAGATGACCTGATTAAATCATAGTACCCAATATATTGGCAATAACTTGATAATTCAATTCTCGAATGTCTTTTCTTATATATAAATTGCAATGGAGAAATTGTTAAATGGATTATATTAGTTTACTATTTGTAACTAAAACCATGGTCACTGCTGTATCTATAAAGACATCTCCTCAAGGAGCTGTAAATCCTGCTAGTCATTTTCACAAAGGTTTCAGCTAACCAGCATCAAGCTACCTGCTAAGGTCTTAATTGTCTCATCAAAGACCACACACTGACAGCATAGTAACACGAATACAACAAAACTATCATCTCGGCTGTGAGCAGGATTTTTAATGGCAACAATAAATGTCCATGGAAAGCTTGTGTCTGTAAAATGATGACTAGGTAAAGACATGTACAAAAAATTCAAAGGAAAAGAATGGAAAAAAGCAACATAAACATCTATCAATTAGTTTTGATGGTTCTAATAATACTTTGTAGAAAAATATAGATCATAGATGTTTTTCCACAAAATGAAGTTGGTGGGAACTTACGTTGGTGCAAGCTTGCCAAGGCTATCCAACTCTTCACCAGAGGATTCATCCCAAACTCTCCCAGAAATCTCAATTTTATAAGAACCAGGAGCAGATGGAAGCCCTCGACCAATAAGCAAGTCCAGGTCTTTATGATGAAGCTCTCTCCCATTCACAATAACACCAGTATTTCCCCTGCCACAATTCTTGGGCATAGGGTAATTGAACTCTTCAATAAATGGCTGCAGAATGTATCACTCCGTTAATGATATTGTCGTGTAAATCTTAAAGGTTTATAGCAATTATAGCAGCTCTTACAGGAATAATGCCATGACATGGATGCCCCATGACACCCCAAAATCCAGCGTGATAGTCATACCTGAAAGAGAAAATAAAACTTTAGCCTTAGATACTGCAAAACTGAGTTGGAGGGCATCCTGGCATTGACAAACTAGACAAGCAGATGTCTTTTTCAAGCATGAACATATGGCTTTTGAAAATTTCTAGGTGTTAGTGCATGAAAGTGGGTTTAAACAATTAGATATATTGTAGAAGCTAGGAAACATAAATAACTAAAGCTGGCTCGAATTATGATCTCCAACATCTTTCGATTAATATGATATTCTAGAGAACTGGAAATCTCAATAAAAACTAATTGATTTTCTCCCCTGTAACAGTGATGTTTTGGGCTAAACTCCAGTAGTAAGACATGATGAGGAGTGACAGGCTTTTGAATCCACGGTCTGCTGGATAGAATCATGTTGTTTGGAGCATACACCAGCCAAAAGTCATATTAATGGTTCAACTGAGAGACTTCTAGTGCTTTACTAGAAGTTCTCAAGGGGACAGAAACCAATAGTTTGAAGGCAAGTGCTGCAGCTGTGGACCCCTGGTTGGAACAAGGATGCCTATTCCATGGTTAGAACAAGGGATTTGTAGTAGTAGTTTGCAGGTGTCAATCAGGTTGTCATCAGCAAAAAGAAATAGATTTTGAGTTTATCTATTTATCTTTTAAAATTGAAGCACAACAAAGGTAACTGGGCCAATGTAGATCCAGGGCAGAAGAAAGATAGATGGAGCTTTCAAAACCGAGATTGATTATGGTTAGTCTCTCCTGAGTATTTCTACAATAAAGAAATATTTTCTTTCAGTTTTCTGTAGTTTGCTAGAATGCCCAAAATTGACAACAAAGAAGTGACCCAACATAGACATCATGATCTAAATAAGCAACGTGGGGCCCCACCATTTCATCATAATAAGTTTTGGGTCCATTCAGAATATAAATTTGGTATAAAACCAACTTCATATGATTTTAGCAGGACCCATGGCTTGCTCATTTTTAGCAATGACTTCTATATTGTGGAGTTCATTTAGAACCATGAAATGGAATAAATCTCTTGAAACACTGTCACTGAACTATGAATTTGATGCAGAAAATAAAAATCACAAATATCTGAAAAAGTAATCCAATGCATGAAACCACTGTATATAAAAGAAGATGTTTGTATGACTAAAACGCTAGTCACCCAGTTCATAAAGAAACAAGTCCTCAAATATCTTGAATGTCTGAAACAAAAGCCATATTTTCACAAGCATGTTTATCAGTTCATATATTACCCTTGCTTAATTAACCTCAAAAGGTTTAGGCAAAGGCATCATATCATCAAACTGTTCTAGCAGGCATGCAACTAAATGACTTCAAAATGACTGGAAAAGAGACTTACCAATAGTCACCAGGATGGATTAGGCCAGCTTGTTTTTCAGCTTTTTTAACTAGACGATCAGGAATTGGATGACCATTAACTGAAACTTTAGAGTCGCCAGATCCCATCGCTTTGTGGAAACGAAAACTCTTCTTGAGGCCTGCAAGGAATGAGTCACCAGCTTTGATGACCCTTGGTTGAACATCATGTTCACTTATCATGTCCGAATAATCATGAGAAGAATTTGCATTTGGAAACTCATTAACTGACACGTCCATCTCAGTTGCCATCGTAACATCTTTTACTGAGTTCTGTCTAAATTTACTACTTGAGGGCGTATTTTTATCTTGTTCTGAGCGTCTACTGCAGCTTCCAGTTCCAGATGCATCATTTGCTTGATCAGACAATGAGGAACCAAGATGTTTGCGAATTGGTAAACTTGGCACACGTGAAATAACCTGAGGTTCTAAGGGAATATCTGAAGAGGTAGGAACGTCCTGTGAGAAAATGTTATTTGAGATGTCAACATGCTCCGACATAGTGGAAGATGAAGATGGACCCTTCTTTTTTCTAACTCATCCAAGTTCTTCAACCCATGTGCCCTTTCTATCATCTCATTATCGCTGCTAGTGACAATACAAGGCAGAACTAACTTCTCATCTGTAGACTGAACACAGTCGCCTGGGCTACAGCCAATGTCATTGTTCTTGGATGAAAGAGATGTTGTTGGTGCCAGACCAGATGCAACAAGTCGACTTCCATCACGCTGGACCAAAATGACCTTGGAGCAAGCTCCACATCGCAGATTAAACTTCTTCTTTCTTGAAAACAACAATTTAGCAGGTAGTTCCAGAAGTTCAAAACAATTACAACATACCATAAAAGGGGCAGCACCAGCAAAGGGTTGACAAGAACGTCCAACATTCTTACTGAACATGGCCCTCTGGTATGCTTGCGGCTCATGCGAATGAAAGGAAGCATTTCTGAATCTTGAATTATAACTTCGTGAACCAAAGATCGAGGGAGCATCAACTGGATGTAACTTATGATTATTCACAAAACATGGGACCCTCTGATGGCCAAATGTTGTTGGGGGGCCTCTTGCAAGGACTGAGAATTGTCTGCGGAAGCAACGGGCACATGAACAAGCAGGTTTATGGTAAAAGGGTTCTTGATTATAAGTCATAATAGGATCAGGATCGAAGTGCCCATTAAGATAATTATCAGGTAGCCTCTGAGGGTACTCACCACCTAACTGAAATGGAGCTCTTCTACGTGCCAAAGGATCACCAAGTCCAGGCATGTCGTTCAGACCAAGCATATTACCATTGTGATCCCGGAGTGTTGCAGGCCGGCAAGATGGATTGCGATTCAATGACCATGAGCTGTCAGGAAACCTATTGGCACAAGCTGTCATTCTATCAACTGTAGCACTCAGCTTTTGCTTGCTTGAGACCTCACGTGTTCTTTGCACTTGATTCCTCAATTTATCAATCAGTCTCAGAAGCTCTGCTTGGTCTTGATCTCTGCCAGCACCAGCACCATTCTGCCTCCTGTCACGATCACCATCAGTGCATACACGCCTTGAATTCTGATGATAGTCAGATGGGCCTTCATCAGGGTACGGATCACGTTGGATTTCTGCTTTGAAAGCCTTTCGATTTAGACTCTCCTCACCCTTCTGGACTTGTGCCTGCTGAGCACAGAAAAACATATCAACTGATTGCTTGGCTTTATCTCCCTCATGTAAATTTGCTTTAATTAAAGCTTCTGCATTTTCACCAAGATTGCCAACTGGTAATATTGCCTCATGCTGACAATCATCGCCCTTGCTTTGTGCTACACACCCTTTGGCAGAGTCTTCTAACTGGAAGGAGTCGGCTTCCTTTGAAACAATTGTTTGTTCAGTTTCAGATACAGAAATACCATGGGAACTTTCTGCTCTCTCTGGACCTACATCCTTCTGTCTCATACTCTCAGCTCCATTACACTCACGATCAGTCTCCGACTTTGCATCCAAGACCACCCATTTCTTCTCTGCACTATTTTCTAGGACCTCAGGATACTTGGCGTTTACACCTTCAGATTGCTCTGGCAAGGCCTCTGACACGGAGACTGGTCTTTTTACTGTATGATTGACAAATAAAAATGAGATCTAACACTATCTAAAAATTGAGGTGATATTAAGAACTAAAAAGATGGATTAAAAAAACTGGATTTTTGTTGGGATTAACAAAAAAAAACTAAGTTCAAGTTTTATTCCTGATTAATACCAACTTCAAAGTTATACCATCGAGTCAATCTCGTTTCCTATAAGGAACCATAATTCTCGGTCAAAAACAAAGAAAAAGAAAACCGAAAGGAGAATTTTAAGGAGCGAGACATGTGAAGCCTGAGGATCACCTTGAAGAGTAGCACCGCAGCCACCGCAGCGATAGACCGAGAGATTGGCCAGCTCCGGGAGGAGTCCACTGCAATTCGGGCATCGCACCACCCGAACCTTAGTTTCTTCTCCTCCTTCTTCCGCCATCTTTCGTACGGAACTTAACCCTATCGAGCGTCCATGACCCCTGAACGCCTCCGAACTTCCAGAGACACCAAGTTCCGACCTTTCCCAACCTCCTCCAACCCCCCACCGAAATCCCTGCTTTCTAGCACCAAACGAGACAGCGGACCAAAAAGCGATCAGCTTGGCCGCACCGGATGCGACGGAGCTCAGGAATCGACTGGATTTTCCTGCGAGCTGCGATTGTCACGTCAAAGGGCAAACCGAGATCAAAGCTGGTCCTGTCTTGGCAAACGAGAAAGCCGATTCCTCTCCTGCTCCCTCTCTACTTTACTCCCGGCACGCTTTCTTCCCCCTGAGAAGTAGGTGGAAAGACAGGAGGAGGTGGTTTCGAAAGGAGGATGGAGAGGAGCAACGCGGGATTTTGGATGACCGACGTTGGCGTAATGATGACGGGACGACGTCTTCCTTTGGCTCTAACCTCTTGGTTATATATATATATATATATATATATATATATATATATATATATATATATATATATATATATATATATATATATATATATA